CTGCCTTCCTGCAGCTGGGAGCCACCAAAGGGAGATTTGAATCCTGCTCTGATTCCATGGTCATGCTTGAGCCACAGGAAGGCCCCAGATCAGGAAGCGGGTTGGGAGTCGGTGTGGGGATGGGGACTGTGAGGGGACTGGCCATGACCCCCAGCCCGCATCTCCTCCCCCAGCTTCCCTGGGGTGGGAAGGACAGGCACAGCGGCCCCCGGGTGACCCCCCGTCTCTCTTGGTCCCCCGGGCCCAGGCACGTCGGTGATGCAGGTGATGGCCTCAGATGCGGATGACCCCACGTACGGCAGCAGCGCTCGGCTGGTGTACAGCGTGCTGGACGGCGAGCACCACTTCACCGTGGACCCCAAGACCGGTGAGGGGCGGGGCCAGGCCAGAGGGGCGGGGCCTGGGCGGACTCGGAGGAGGGGCGTGAGAGAGAGGGCGGGGCCAGAGGGCGGGCCAAGGTCTGCGATCCACCTTCTAACCGGACCGCGCAGAGAGTGAGGCCGGAGCGGGAGGCGTGTTGCCTGTTCCAGGGTTGCGGAGAGGGAAGGGCGGCCAGACAGAAAGAGCGAAGGGCTGAGGGACAGAAAAGAATAGGCCTGGGGGCGCCGGCAAGACTGGCAGAGAAACAAAGAAGCAGGATGCGGCCACATGGGGCGCCCTGAAAGGACTTCGGAGGTCCGAACTAAGCGGCCCTCGTGTCCTTGGTGCCAAACTGAGGCTAGTGTGGCCTGCAGCCCTTAGGGGGCCGGTCGTACGTGTATTCGGGGGAGTCAGCTGGTGGAGGGCATCTTTGCAGCTGTTGTGAACGCTCTGTTCAAAGGGCAGTTGTTACGGATCTGTTGGGAGGACCCCGTTGGAGAAGAATGACTTCCTGGCTTCTTCTCCCTCCCCCGGCACCACCAAACACAGCCCCCACTCACTTCGTCTGAGGTTAGAACCCGATGACGTCTCTGAGGGGCCTTGCCACAGTGGCAGGGAGGGCAGAGGAGGAGAGGCCCAGACCAGAGAAGCGCTGCGCTGAGGTCACCCAGCCAGCGGGGCGTGGCTGCGGGCGCCCAGCGGGTGTTCTCCCTGCGCCCCGCGGGGGAGGGGCAGGGCAGGGCAGGGGCGACGGCGGGAGATGAGATGCGGCAGCCCCGAATGTTTAGAATGTTTACCTGGTGCCGTCTTGGGACTCACAGTCCAGCGGGGGCTGGGGCACACGCACGAGCAGTTGGGATGCAAAGTTGTGGGAGGTGGTGGCAGCTGATCCCCCAAAGGCTCGGAAAGTGCGGTCCTGAACGCGATTCAGAGAGGGGCATTCTAGGCAGCGGGCATGGTGCGGGCAAAAAACTAGGAAGGGAAACAACAGCCTGAGGCATGAGGGGAATTGTAAGCAACTCAGGACTGGGGAAGCAGGCAGGCTGAGATGTGACGTGGGCTGGCTGGCGGGGGCCCGACTGGGCCCAGTCAGTATAAGCCAGGCTCAAGACCTTGGATTTTATTCTAAGGGTAGTGGGGGAGGGTGTATGTGCGTGATGGATCTGGGTTTTGGGTTTTTGTTTGGGTGTTTGTTTTCTTGGGGTCGGGGGTTAAGGATTCCAGGCTATGAGCACAGTTATAATTGTATTATCTCACACATAGTATCTTTGTCATTTTTTTTTCCTCCTTGCAAAAGTAATACATTTTAGGAAACATTCCAACATTTTAAAATGTTAAAAAAGAAAGAAAGAAAGAAGAAAAGGAAAAAGAAAACAAAATTCCTACCCTTATCTCCAGTAATTGTGGCCCAAAGGTAGCCACTTGGTGTATATATCCTAGGAGATTTTGGACTCACTCACTTGAAAAATATTAAGTTTTTTAAATAGGTAACACACTTCAAGGTTCAAAACTCAAAAAGTAGTCCAAACAGATATTTAGTAGAAATTCCTCACCCCTTCCAGTCCCCCAGCCGCCCAGTCTGTGTCCCCAAGGCAACCAATGTAATTTTCTTGGATATCTTTCCAGAGCTATTCTATGCATGTACAAGAAAATAGGTACATGTATTTGTTTTATTTTTCTATACAAACGGTAGCTATAAACACACACTATACACACTGCTTGCCTTTTTCACTTAACAATACATCTTGAAGATTATTCTATATCAGTACATAAAGAGCTTCCTCATTCTTTTATTTAACAGCTGTTGTGGATACACTAAAATTTATTTCACCAGTCCCCTATTGATGGACACTTACGCTGTTTCCAATCTTTTGCTACAACGAACAATGCTACAGTGAATAACCTCATACATATATCATTTTGTGCTTGTGTGAGTATATCTGCAGGATAATTTCGGGGAAGTGGAGAAGCTGGGTCAAAGAGCACATGCATTTGGAGTCTGGATAGATAATGCCGAAATGTACCAGATTACACTCCCGAGAGCCACGTAGGAAGGCACCTGTTTCCCCTCCTCCTCACCAACACTCTGGGTTCATTGATGACTTTTAGGCAGGGAAGTGACATGCTCAGGTTTTCATTTTAACAAGATCCCTCGGGCTGCTCTCGATAGCATGGCTCAGAGGCGGGAATTGAATTCAGGGAGACTCAGTAGCCTGGGGTGCCCAGCAGAGAGCCCCAAAGGACAAACACCAAGGTCTGTGCCTTTTCTCAGCCCCTACCCAGCCTCCTTAACCTGCTCCATCCAGTTAGGGAGCCAAAGATGACACAGGATTGGTGGTGAGGGTTAGTTGAGATGCGGAGGAGGGAGAATGAGGGATGACAGTGAGATCCTGCTCAGGGCAAACCTTGGGGACCTGGATGAATGTAGGGGACTAGATTGAGGGGTTCCCACCTTTGGGTCTTGGGATGGGAAGGGGCCCCATCTACAGCAACAGAAGGAGGAATGTGGATTAAGAAAGCTAGGAGCAGAAGAATGAGTGAATGTGCCCTGGGATCTGGTGCAGAGCTAATTAATTCCATTTTAACCATAGTGGCTTTAAGATGAGCGAAGGGAGGAAAGAAACGTTTAGAACATCTAGGAGGCCGTCCGAAATATGGCCCAGAGCTCTCTCAATAGCCGGGGCTCTTTAAGCTTTGGTCTCCCATGCACACAAGAGGGATAATAAATTCTCATCTCACATGATTACTGTGAGGGTCCAACGGGAGAGTTCCTTCACTCACTCAACAGCTCTTTGTTGAGTGCCTACTAAGTGCCCGGCTCTAAGCATATGGCAGGAGGCAAATCTAAGACCCTACCCTCCAGGAGCTTTCATCCAAGGAGGGAATACAGACAGTAAGCATATCAATGTGTAACAGAACGTCAGGTAGCAACAAGACACAGAAAGCAGGGTAAGGGGATTGACTTAGCTGAAGAAATCAGGACAGGCCTTTCTGGGGAGGTGACGAGTGAAGTGAGGGTATTAGTGTCTAGGAGGGAGCGTGCAGGCCAAGGGAGCAGCAAGCATACAAAGTGCTCGGCTCAGTATCTGCTACCTGCCCATACACCGAGGGGCTGCTGCCACTGCTGAAGCCTTCATTCATTCAGCCCGACGAGGGGGCCTTAGAGTTGATCCCCTTTCAGAAAGAGGAAGAGACCGGACGTGGAAAGAAGGGAGGGGCCGGGATTGAGTCTGGGAGGTGGCAGGGGTGAGCAGTTGGAAGACCAGACTCCAAGACGATGAGGACGGCCAGGTTGTAAGCCAGAGCATGGAGGAGGGTGGCAAGTGGGAGGCCGTGGGGCCCAGGGGGCGGGGCAGGAAGGGCTCCCAAGAGGCCAGCAAGCGGGCACCAGGCTAGGAAGGTGAGGCAGCGCACACGAGCTCCCCGTCCTAGGGTCCTCAACTTGCTCAGTCGGAGAAGGTCTTTGCTGACATTTCCCAGGAAGGACCAGACTCCCCTCCCCCGCCCCCCACCTACCCTTGCCTTCAGCCCCACTGCAGGAGCCGCCCTGGTGCCATTCCCAGCCCGAGCTCCATTTCCCCAGCCAGGAATATTCCGCTGATGCGGGTCTATATTTAGCAGCTGCTGCGAGGTACAGTCTGTTCTCGCTGTGCAGATAGCAGGGAGCAGAGCCGGAACGGGCCCTGAGAGGAAGGGTGTGAGGGAAAGGAGGAGGCGGGGTGCCATGAGGCCGAGTGCCAGAGGAGGAATTAACTTGTGTGTTTTAAAGGCCAGGCCTGCCAGCAAGCCCCCCACAGGGGCTACGGGGATGGCATTTGTGGGCTAATGAGGCATCGCTTGGGCTCCAGGGCCCCTTCTGCAGAATTTGGAGGGGACAGCAGGGGTGGCGAGGACGACGGCTGGAACTGGGGGCGATGGGTGAGGACAAGGCTGCAGGGAGCCGTGGCCAGGTTCTAATTCCCAGCCCCCTCCACTACCACCGCCCCCGCAGGAATAGCAAGGCTCTCTCAGAGACTTCAAGATCCCTGCTGAAAAGTCTCAATTGGGGCCAGACATGTCTGTTTTCCCGGGATGAATGAAACAAACCTTTGCTGAGCACCTTCTAAGTGCCAGATCCTTGGGTCAGGATGATAAACTAAATCTGGTTTCTGCCCCCACGGGGCTTCTGTTCCAACAGAGAAGCCAGAGACCAACAGACAATGCCACCCACACAGTGAGAGGGGGGACAGAGGGTCCGTGGCCGTAGGTCAGGCAGTCCAGATGTTTACTGAACACCTACTATGTGCCAGACCCGATAGGTAAGATGATGAACAAGGCCAGTATGAACCTCTGCCCTCATGGAACTTATTTATCGGGTAACCAAATCCAGGACTTGAGGAGTGGGGGGATCATCAAGGCATCCCCGGAATGTGAGACCTGTCACTGGCAACTTTGTCTCATTGAACTGTAGCCCCATTTTATAGAATAGGAAGCTGAGGCTCAGGGGGACTCAAGAGCTTGCTCAAGGTCAGATAGCATGTAAATGGTGGAATGAAGACTCGAACCAGTCTGTTTGACTCCAAAGTCCCTCCTTTCTGTACTGCCTCATATGTGACTCTGTGGCCCTTATGCATAGTAGGTCCTCAATAAGTAGTAAGTAGCATAGTAGGTCCTCAGTAAGTAGATCTAATAAATGAGTGAACGAAGGGACTTAACCGAGCCAGAAGGTTTCAAGAACGACTGTAGGGGCGCCTGGGTGGCTCAGTCAGTTAAGCGTC